GAGCTAGCCAAAAAAGAACTTTGAAAATGAAGAAATTAAAAATATCACCTTATAACATTATATGATTCTATTACATTCTTGTCTCTGTTTTCAGCAGTATTCCATTATAAAAACATTGGCATATATGGAATAGGAAGGGATGAATGATAGCCAGCCTCTTCCTGCCTTCTTTCTCTTGTAGGAAATGGTGATCTAATGCCCCTTTGGTTTACTTGTACGTATTTCTATAACCTAGTGACATTTTAATTCTAGGCACATTAGTGCTAAAATCATACTCTGTGCACTGCAGAGCCTCTCAATAGAGGTCACCCACTCTGTGTGGGTGTCGATATTTTTTCCCAGGATGTGTTTACAATGCTCAGACAGGTACGGGGAGTCGCATGCTCTAGTGCTTCGTGTAAAGGGTTCAGCTTGGGTTCCTGAAGCTCCTTATGCCACTTTTGTGAAATAAAAGGCTGAATACGATGATTTCTTGAATCCCTTTAAGATCTCAAACCTTTACCCACCTTTGAGGTTTAGGTTGTGTTGGTTTTCCCACTCCCTTTTTTTATTAGTGTACTTTCATTTTGTACTACATCTATTTTTTTTCCAGAGCTTCATCAAGATTGTTCAGAGAATGATTTAAGCCAATGGAATCTAAATTTCTAGTTCTTTAAATAAAGAAGTTCAATTTCAAATCTAACTTTAAACATTAAGGTTATATGCTTATTATTTTTTATTTATTTATTTTTATTTTTTTTTCTTCCTTGACCCATTGATGATTCAGGTAAGCATTGTTTCATTTCCATGTGTTTGTGGGCTTTCTAGAATAGTGTTGCCGTTAAATTCTAATTTTAAGCCATGGTGATCCAATAAGATACATGGGGTTATTCCAACTTTTTTGTATCTGTTAAGGTTTCCTTTGTTACCGAGTATGTGGTCGGTTTTTAAGAAGGTTCCATGTGCTGCTTAGAAGAAGGTATATTCTTTTATGTTTGGCTGGAATATTCTATAAATGTCTGTTAAGTCCATTTGAGTCATAACATCTGTTAGTTCCCTTATTTCTCTGTTAATTTTTTGTCTGACTGACCTGTCCAGCGGTGAGAGTGGAGTGTTGAAGTCTCCCACTATTAGTATGTAGGGTTTAATGTTTGATTTAAACTTTAGAAGTGTTTCTTTTACATATGAGAATGCCCTTGTATTTGGGGCATAAATGTTCAGTATTGAGATTTCCTCTTGATGGATTTTTCCTGTGACTAATATGAAATGCTCTTTTTTGTCTCTTTTGATTGACTTTAGTTTGAATTCTATTTTGTTAGTAATTAGAATAGCTACAGCCACTTGTTTCTTAGGTCCATTTGATTAGAAAATTTTTTTCAACCCTTTACTCTGAGCCAATGTCTGTCTTTATGTTGAGGTGTGTTTCTTGTATGCAGCAGCAGAATGGATTCTGTTTTCATACCCAATCTGTTAGCCTGTGACTTTTTATGGGTGAGTTAAGTCTATTTATATTAAGGGATATTAGTGAACAGTGATTGCTATCTCCTGTTAATTTAATTTTTGTTTTTGGTGGTGTTATTTTGTGCATATTTTTTCTTCTTTGGGATTTGCTGCTGTGAGATCATCAATTGTCTGTGTTTTTGTTGATGTAGCCAACTTCCTTGGGTTAGAGTTTTCCTTTTAGTACTTTGTGTAGGGCTGGATTTGTGGCTAGGTATTGGTTAAACATGATTTTGTCATGGAATATCTTGTTTTGTCCTTCTATGGTGATTGAAAGTTTTGCTTGGTATAGGAGTCTGGGCTGGCATCCATGGTCTCTAAATGACTGCATAACACTTGACCAGGACCTTCTGGCTTTCATTTTCTCCATTGAGAAGTCAGGTGTAATTCTGGTATGTTAATGTTTTGATTATTATGTGTGATGAGGGGACTTTTTTATGCACTCTATTTAGTGTTCTGTACACTTCTTGTATCTTTATAGAGATATCTTTCTTTAGGTTGGATAAGTTTTCTTCTATGAGTTTGTTAAATATATTTTCTGTGCTTTTGAGTTGGACTTCTTCTCCTTCCTCTATTCCTATAATTCTTAGGTTTGGCCTTTTCGTTATCTCCCATATTTCCTATATATTTTGGGTTAAGCTTTTGTTAGATTTAATGTTTTCTTTGACTGATGAATCTATTTCCTCTATTATAGCTTCAGCACTTGAGATTCTCTCTTCTGTCTCCTGTATTCTCCAGTTTATGCTTATGTTTTTGGTTCCTGATTGTTTGCTCATAATTTCTGTTTCTATAATTCCCTTGGCTTGGCTTGTGTTTTCTTTATTGTCTCAATTTCAGTTTTCAAGTTTTGAATAGTTTCTCTTGTATGTTTGATTGCTTTTTCTTGGTTTTCTTTAAGGGATTTGTTGATGTCTTCAAACCTCCATTTCTTTGAGGGAATGTCTCATTTCCTCTTTAAGAGTCTCAAACATTCTCCTGAAGTTATTTTTTAGGTAATTTTCCTCTGCTTCATCTATATTTGGTTGTTCACGTCTTGCTGTTGTAGGGCCACTAGATTTACTGGTGTCTTCACACAATTAAGGGGAGCATGATAAGGAAAATGAAAGATGCCAGCATGTGCCTCGGCAATTTCTCTGAGCACAATCTGAGGCATACTATCACATATGATTGCAGTGACCATTGTAAGATGTGGTCAAATCCCTGGATGCACTGGGTTTACCAAGTTCTTCAACTGTCCACAGACAACCAAAAAAGGGAGCTTTGACATTAAAATAGGAACAATTAGGAGAAAATATCACTAGGCAATAGATTAATGAGAATACCTTGGTGTTCAGATATATTCAATTTCAAAACTCTTTATTCAAATGAGCAGTTTAAAAATCTTTTCTGAGCAATTACCATTTTTACAGACATGGCATAAAAAATGACTCATCTGGCAATACCTCAAAAAGCAACAACTCCCAGAATGAAGAAGAGGTTGAATTCTAAGCATCCGGTATTAGGTAATAGCATCTTCCCGAGGAAACTAGAATCTCACAATGGTCACGGTTGGCACTGCGTGGACATTTGGGATGAGCAAGGGTCTCCTACGCTTGTGGCCCCAGAGGAACAAACACACTTCTGCATCTCTCTGAAGCATCCTACAGAAGCAAGCACTGCAGTAAGCTGCCTTGCAAGCGTGTTCATTCCTGGGCCTGGTAGAACTCCCTGAGCAGTTCACCTTGCATTTATGCAGGGCCCTCTGCCTATGTGGAAGTTTGAAAACACATGAAGAGTCTCTCTCTGCTAGCTCAACTTCCATTTGCTTTGATGGATTGCAAACAGGCAAGCAGTGCCTTGCATGAGAGAAGAGTTTTCAATCATAAGGAGATTCTGAGCTTCTGCAATTGATACTAAAATTATGATGCTGCCATCACACCTCACTCGGTGGGGAATTTGCAAAAATGGAAGAAAAAAAAAAGTTCAGTACCAAGTCAGTGTCACATTGCGGAAAAGAGAGTTGACTAAAGTCTTGGCCTTGGAGTCTAGCTGTCCTTTGCAGAAATCATAATCAGCTTAAAATTCAGTTCATAAGAGAGTTAAAATATGGACATTCAGTTTTCCAGTTTTTGATTGAACGGAGATAAGTAATTAAGCTGAAGTATTATGAACTCCAAGGACTTAGGGGCTGAGGATATGGCTCAGCAGGTAAAGTCCTTGCCGCACAAGCATGAGAATCTGGGTTTGGATCCCCAGTAACCACATAAAAGTTGGCCCAGTATACATGCTTGCAAACTTAGCCCTGAGAGGGCAAGACAGACCTAGCACAGAGGCCCACTTGTTAGCCTGTCCAGCCAAAACTGTAAGATTCAAGCTGAGTGAGAAACCGTGTCTTCGAACAATACCATGGGAAGGAATAGAGGAAGATACCTAACACTGACCTCTGCCTTCTGCATGTGCAGGCTGATGTGTCTCCCTGACACACATGTACTTGTACAAACACATGCAATAATCACAATAACAAAGTTAAGTCAACTAAAGCATCTAAAATGAAGAGATCTTTTAATAACTTAAAGTAAGACTCTATCCTTTCCTTTTTCCAGGATTTTAAATACATTGTAATAACCCTTTATTCTATAGACTATAGAATACAAACATCACATCACAAACAGAGAGATAGGACACTAAGTGAGCATTGAGATTATAGGGAACGTGCCCAAAATCACAAGTTGGTAAGAATTTAGGAGCCAGAGCCACCCTTTGAATTCAGATGTCTGGCTGATAAGACTCTGCACTTGGTCAAAGTACTACATGCTTGGTAGGAGGCATGATGTGAATGCAGACTAAATGTGTGTCCACATCTCAAAGACATCAAGCCAAACACTGACATAGTTTCACCAGCTTAGCATGACTTGTAAATCAAACAAAAGCTGAATAATCAGTGAAGGCCATGATCAATATGAATGATGTAATGTATTCTTGAATTATTCTGCTCAATTAAGTTTTCATTACAGAGTTTAATCCACATACCTGACAAGTAAAAGAGGAATAAAAAGGATGACTATGTGAAATGAATCAAATAAACTGTCAATTTTTCAGCAGCAAATTCATGTACCTTGTAACAGATTTAAAGAGACCTACTGCATATGCAAATGCATTTGCACAGATGCCCAAGGTGTATATTTTGTGGTCAGATCAAAAACTGAATACTGTCTGAAGCCATATGGAATTAATCCAATATTCTTTTAAATAAGCACAAAATGTTTGATGTCACTAGGTACCCTTGCTTCACTGATTGAAGGGTGACATTAACTCTTCAATTCTGATGAACTTAGGAGTTCAAGAATAAATGCAAAAGATTTCAGTGTGTGTATACATACATATATGCATATTTTGTATAAAGTTTTTATACAAATTTTATACTGATTTCTAATAATTGGAGTCACCACGTGTCACATTTCTAAGACTTTTACAATAAGTTAAAGGTGTCACATAGCATATAGCTAACAGTTCTTTATTGTTCTGTTGTGTTTCCTCTGCAGGCATCCCCAGCATTTCCAGTATTGGTAGTAAGTAAAATAATCACCAACCCAAACCAAGGCTAGCTTTGCTTTGTTGTTCAGCTCCTCAGAGCTCTTTTCTCGTGTCCATTTCTGATGCAATAGAGCAGTATCTATTGGGATTCAAGTTTCCTGCTGGTTTTAGGTACTGGTGCACGGAGAACACAGACAAAGCAGTGGCTCATGCACAGCTCTTCTGTACATGTGCAATGCCTATTTCCTAATGACTTTGGCTTCATGAAGGCCACCTGAACAGAGACCTGAATGAAGAAGCGATTGCTTAGATAAATACACCTCGTCTTATATACAGTCCTATATTATACTTAGTGACCAACAACAGATTCACTCTCTTTATAGGACCAAGTGTAAATCTCAAATGTAACTGGGAGGAGAAGAGAATGAGTGTCCATGAATGTCCTAAGTATTTCATTGAAATTCAAGGAAAATACCATGAAGCCAGGGAGGAAATCTCTTAATGCATTAAAATGTAGGTTTTGTGAAGGCCTGAAAGAGGTGGGTTGATGATCATTAATCATTCCTAGGAATTAAGGACAATCAGTTTGCACACCACCCACTCCTCTCTTCTGAATTACAGTGGTCTGTTCACTCTGGAGCCCTTTGTTTTCTCTCTGGTAAAAAAGGGATATATGTACAAAATGTAAGCATAGGACCAAAACTTCCTAAAAAAGTCTCTTAGTAGAAATCCAAGTAATTGAAGAGCAATCTCCCCTCCACTTTCTGAACAACGCTTTCCAACATCACTGCTTTGAGCATGTCCAGCTTCTACAAGAGGGTCAGGTTGTAGCTCTTCTTCCTGTCTGAATTAGTGTATCCTCACCCAAGACTGGAAGAATTCATTACGAATGTACACTATACCATATCAGAGCATAATTTCTCACAGTTTTTTACAGCATGCCCTTGATGACCAAGGGTAAAAACCTTAGAGCCATAGCTGAATCACCGATTTAGAAATAAAATACTAAGGAAACCTCAACTATGGTCTGTAAACGAAAAGAACACTGGTCCCTATGATGGTCACTCATCAAAGGCTTGTGTCCTAAGAGTTGTGCCAAGGAGAATGTTTACAGTGTAAATAACAGCAGATGAAGCATGGCCAAACCCAACACTTTCCTAAAAGCAATACTCTGACAATTTGGATAAGAAACTTGCCACTTCTTATACATGCAAGGCCAGCTCTTCTAATTGATAAATCAGCCCAGTTTACTTAAACCTGTGAATAGATGCAGGCTCTTACTTGTTAAGCATTAGACATGTTGAATGCCATGAAAATCAGTTGCTCTGTAATCAGAAGCAGCATTTACATCCACTTTGATACAAACCTACAATAGCAGCACTGTCTTTGTGATCTTACAAAAGCGGTCTTGGGGCTGCCTTGCCAATGAAGATGTTCAGCTCTAATATCCCTGCCGTAGGGCTTGGCATTTGCCCAGGTATGTAGCTCCAAGTGCACCTTTCAGGCCTTGACAACTATTCTTGTAAAACTTTAAAGCAGAGGGAATCAGGAGGGCTCTCGTGATCTGGTGTGCCCAGAGTCTCAGAAATGGATGAATGGAAAAGTAGTTCTTTGGTGCTGGGATGTGTTTTCGTTCTGAGAGCCAGTTGTGTGTTGCATGGACCTCTGACCGTACCTGCTCACTCCACATCTCATCTGGCCGCCTCCACCCCATCCCCCATCTTTGAGCATCAGCAGATGTTGACCTTTTACACACGGAATCAGGAAATTCCAGTTTTGTTTTGCACAGTTAAATTTTGAAATCAGCGGTGACCTGAAAGGATGCTGTGCCGTTCCTTTGGAAGATGGACTAATCTTTATTATTATCAGGAACTTGAGAAAATTTTACGACTAATAATCTGTGACAAAAACCCTATGACTCCAAATGATAGTCTGTAGCCCGAACACCTCTGGCTATTCATCTTAGAGCACAATGGGTGGGTTGTTTTGTTTTGTTTAATTTCTAATAAAGCAAGATGGAAGAGCATTCAGGGATCATCCTGTATTACACAAGACTAGCTTGCCTGTCGCCTGGCTTTTAAGGTAAAGAGATTAATGATAACACCATAAAACACCATGTTATCTTCCAGATGTCTTTAATAGCATTAGCGAGTTCCTTCTTTGTGGCCTTACACAGTACTTGCTGTGTGCACTGGTGGATTCTTTCTTCTCCACAGGGAGAGAATTCACATGATGATGATTCATTGCCAGGCCTAGAAGGTGCAGAGGGGATGGACAAATGTTTTTAAGGTACATAGTAGAGAGGAGGAAGCTGCTTGGATATTTAGCTAAGTCTGGGCCTTTTCCAGGGCTTCTCTTTTCACGCCAAAGAAGCAATCAATGTATAAAATCCCACTCACTGTCTAGGAAGATCCGTTGTAACAAATGAAGCACCCATGAGGTTCTGATCATCAAAGTATTTTTCGTAGAAAATAAATGATGTGTATTATCGATGTGAGCTATTGATGTACATAACCATAAGTTTACATACATATGCTGTATTTTACAACGGCTGGAGGATTTAGCTCTAATAGACTTCAGTATAGATTTCATATTGTCAACATCAACATGAAGAATCAAACACATGGACAGAGTAGCTATCCTTTCTGATCATCTGCTAAACATATTTTTAAAACAAATTTCCCATCAAGGACATTTGTACCTGCTGCTGTCTGTCTACTAGGAAATAGGTTCCTCAAACACCCCAAGAGCACATCAGTCATTTTGATGTGGTTTGACCCATGGCTAAAAAAATATTACTAATGATATTGCCAGCAATTAGTGGATCCCAAAATAAATCTGTAGTCATTTGAGCTTTGTGACCGTTGTTTCTATTTAACCTCATATGATAACTATTCATATGCACATAATTCAAAATTTTATTCAAATGAACATTTGTTGATGCTGATGATCTAAATTAATAAATGGCTTAGTATGGGTGTTTTTTGTTTATTGTGAAAACTTAATCATTATCTTCTAACATACATTATCTAATTCTCAGTACAGCAGCACAAAAAGTTACACTAATCGTGTTAAACGATATATTATACAGAGTATAATTAGTCTGACAAGAACTGTCCTAATGTTTAATAGCTTTGTGGGGATGTTATTATTTCTTACAAAGACAGATGATAAATGAGTCAAATGTAAAAAGGTAAATCCTCCAGAGGACGAAATATGACATCTAGAAAGTTCATTTTAAAAATACTTGGAATTTTTAAATAAACACAAACAAAAATACGTAAAAGAAAAATAGTGATGAAGATGGCCTGCAACCCTATATATTATTTTCCCTAAATAACTTTCATTTGGCTGAGGTGATGTCTGTACAATGCATTTAACAGTGATGGAACTGTTTGACATTCCCTCCCCCACGGCCCATTTATTAAATTTGAAACAACAATTTACTTAAGGGAAATATCTCATTCTCCTGTTTTCTCTTATAATGAGCATTGCCTTCATCACAGAGTTAAAAACTCATCTCTAATTTGATTTAATTGGCAGGACTATTAAACAAGGGAAATGCTACCTGCAGGGATCCATCAGTCTGTTGAGAAAGCCCAGAAATGTTTTCATACTTGAGAACATTTGATGCCAGTTGGAGACCTTGTAAATGCTGTTTTCCATACAGCATCCAAATATTTTTGTGTAGTACTGATTTGTTGTAGAAATTTGAATGGCGAGAAGGAAAAATAACAAGGTTAATCATTTACCCACCCAAGGGTTATTAATAATCATGTTCACTCTATTCAGAGAGCTGCAGTGTCTGTTTGATTTTCCCCTTTGTTTTAATACTTCTAAATCCCCCAAATAAAAGTTCCATTGAATTGCCCTTTAACTAATTAGATTTTATATAATGAGGGAAAAATCATCAGGATAGTGTAGCAACATGGCAAATTGCATGGTGTGCTACATTAATTTTGAACTGTTTGCTGATGTTCTAGAAAGAAAGCTAAGGTCTCGGGTGTAATGCCTTTGGGGACTGTTTTATCATGTACCCAGTTTCCTCATCACAGATCCATTTCATATTTGTGTAAATAGCATTTCATATTCATGAAACCTTTGTTGTTATCCTAAAATTGAATGAACATTAGGATATGACTGCCTTTTTATTCCTAAAAAAAAATCAAATATTCCGGTGAGAGGATAAGAATCCCCCAGTTACAAGAAGAAGAATTTGAGAGGTACCCATTTTTATTGACAACAATTGCCCATCTTGAGCCATTGACTCTTTTATGTTTTGACCTTTACCTAGTCGATTTTGAAATGTCAACCACTTTTTTAAGTGTGAGCTAAAATCTCTACCTTTGCTAGTTGTCTTGGTAGGATAGGATGTTTTCTAGATAGAAGATACATCAAGTTTTCTATACTGGACCCTCAAACAGATTACTGTGAATCCTTTAAGAATGTGTCAATTAATGACTTCTTGGATTACAAGTCTTCTTAGAGTGCCAATGGGAAGCCAACAAACTGACCATTCTACCTCCTGGGAAAAGTTATGCGAGATATGTGATTTGAATTATAGGGACATGTTCCCCAAGTTTCTATTGAGTTCTGTTTTACAAATGGTAAATCTGAGTCAGCTCAGAGTGGCCAAGTAACATTCCCAAAGTACGATGAGCAGGACTGCCTATCTGACTTCATAGCATTAAATGAAGTGGAAGAGATTATATAAAGAAAAAAATCTGGATTTATTGACTCCTGCCAAGACTCTTTCTATGTAGTTAAGAAATCCCTTGATTACTGAATTGACCCATTTCTGTACAGAGAGCCACAGATTTTGGAGAAAAATGGAATTATTTCGCTGTGCTGTCAGCAGAAGATACAAGCATGGTGAATGAGGACAGAGGATCACAAACCTTTGCCCCAATAAAGCATGTGGTTCCTCTACATACAACTTCCCAATAGACTTAGCAGAATGTGAGTATATAAATTCTGGGCTACTATAGATGTGAGTATGTGAGCTATGCAAATTATGTAAGATGCTTACACATAC